AATGAGCTTGATTTCTTTCTGTTGCCTGATTGCTCTGGCCAGAACTTCCAACACTACATTGAATAGGGGTGGTGAGAGAGGACATCTTTGTCTTGTGCTTGTTTTGAAGGGGAATGCTCCCAGCTTTTGCCCATTCAGTATGATGTTGGCTGTGGGTTTGTCATACATGGCTCTTATTATGTTGAAGTATGTTCCTTCAACACCTAGTTTATTGAGACTTTTTAACATGAAGGGATGCCGAAATTTATTGAAAGTCTTTTCTGTGTCTGTTGAGATAATCATATGTTTTTTGTCTTTAATTTTGTTTATGTGATGAATCACATTTATCGGTTCGCATATGTTGAACCAAACTTGCATCCTGGAGATAAAGCCTACTTGATCATGGTGAAAAAGATTTTTGATGTGCTGCTGGATTCAGTTTGCCAGTATTTTGTTGAAGATTTTTGCATCAATATTCATCAAGGATGAATTTCCTTGCATCAATATTCATCAAGGATGAGGTTTTCTTTTTTTGTTGTGTCTCTGCCAGGTATTGGTTCAGGATGATGCTGGCCTCATAGGATGACTTAGGGAGGAGTCCCTCCGTTTTAATTTTTTGAAATAGTTTCAGTAGGAATAGTACTAGCTTTTCTTTGTACAGGGGGTATAACTCAGATATAAATCCATCTGGTCCTGGGGCTTTTTTTCATTGTAGACTATTTGTTACTGCCTCCATTTCAGAGCCTCATTATTGGTATGTTCAGAGATTCCATTTCATCCTGGTTCAGTCTTGGGAGGGTGAATGTATCCAGGAACTTACCCATTTCTTCTAGGTTTTCTAGCTTATATGCATAGAGGTGTTTATAATATTTTCTGAGGGTTGTTTGTATTTCTGTGGGGTCAATAATATCTCCCTTATCATTTCTGATTGTGTTTTTTGATTCTTCTCTCTTTTCTTCCTCATTAGTCTAGCTAGTGGTCGATTTTATTAACTTTTTGGAAAAACCAGCTCCTAGATTTGTTGATCTTTTGAATGGTTTTTTTTTTGTGTCTCTATCTCTTCCAGTTCACCTCTAATTTTGGTTATTTGTTGTCTTCTACTAGCTTTGGGATTTGTTTGCTCTTGGTTCTCTAGTTCTTTTAGTTGTGATGTTAGGCTGTTAACTTGAGATCTTTCTAGCTTTTTGATGTGGGCATTTAGTGCTATAAATTTCTCTCTTAACACTGCCTAACCTGTGTCCCAGAGATTCTGGTATGTTGTATCTTTGTTCTCATTAGTTTCAAAGAGCTTCTTGATTTCTGCCTTAATTTCATTATTTACCAAAAGTTATTCAGAAGCAGGTTATTCAGTTTTCATGTAATTGTATCATTTTGAGTGAATTTCTTAGTCTTGAGTTCTAATTTGATTGTGCTGTGGTCTGAGAAACTGTTATGATTTCAATTCTTCTGCATTTGCTGAGGAGTGTTTTATTTCCTATTATGGATGGATTTTAGAGTAAGTGCCATGTGGTGATGAGAAGAATGTATATTCTGTTGTTTTGGGGTAGAGAGTTCTGTAGATAACTATCAGGTCCAATTGATCCAGAGCTGAGTTCAGGTCCTAAATATCTTTGTTAATTTCTGTCTTGATGATCTGTCTAATATTGTCAGTGGGGTGTTAAAGTCTCCCACTATTATTGTATGGGAATCTAAGTCTCTTTGAAGGCCTCTAAGAACTTGCTTTATGAATCTGGGTGCTCCTGTGTTGGGTGTGTATATATTTATGATAGTTTCTCTTCTTGTTGAATTGAAACTTTTATCATTATGTGATGCCCTTCTTTGTCCTTTTTGATCTTTGCTTGTTTAAAGTCTGTTTTATTGGAAACTAGGATTGCAACACCTGCTTTTTTCTGTTTTCCATTTGCTTGGTAAATTTTCCTTTATCCCTTTGTTCAGCTTATGTGTGTCTTTGCATGTGAGATGGATCTCTTGAAGATAGCATACCAGTGAGCCTTGGCTCTTTATCTAGTTTGCCACTCTGTGTCTTTTAATTGGGGCATTTAGCCCATTTATATTTAAGGTTAGTATTATTATGTGTGGATTTGATCCTGTCATTGTGATGCTAACTGGTTATTGTGCAGACTTGTTTATGTGGTTGTTTTATTAGTATCACTAGTCTGTGTACCTCAGTGTGTTTTTGTAGTGGCTGGTAGTGGTTTTACCTTTGCATATTTAGTGTTTCCTTCAGGAGTTCTAGTAAAGCAAGTGTGGCGGTAACAAATTCCCTCAGCATTTGCTTATCTGACAAGGATCTTATTTCTCCTTCACTTATGAAGCTTAGCTTGGCTGGATATGAAATTCTGGGTTGAAAATTCTTTTTTTTTTTTTTTTTTTTTGAGAGAGAGTCTCACTCTGCCTCCCAAGCTGGAGTGCAGTGGTGTGATCTCCACTCACTACAACCTCTGCCTCCCAGGTTCAAGCAATTCTCCTGCCTCAGCCTACCAAGTAGCTGGGACAACAGGCATGTGCCACCATGCCTGGCTAATTTTTGTATTTTTAGTAGAGATGGGGGTTCATCATGTTGGCCAGATTGGTCTCGAACTCCTGGCCTCAAGTGATCTGCCTGCCTCAGCCTCCCAAAGTGCTGGGATTACAGGTAAGAGCCACTGTACCCGGCCAGTGAAAATTCTTTTCTTTAAGAATGTTGAATATTGACCCCTAGTCTCTCCTGGCTTATAGGGTTTCTATTGAGGGGTCTGCTGTTAGTCTGATGGTCTTCCCTTTGTAGGTGACTTAGCCTTTCTCTCTGGCTGCCCTTAACATTTTTTCTTTCATTTTAACTTTGGAGAATCTGATGATTATGTCTCTCAGGGATGGTCTTCTCATGGAGTAACTTATTAGGATTCTCTGTATTTCCTGAATTTGAATGTTGGCCTATCTAGCAAGGTTGGAGAAGTTCTCATGGATATCTTGAAATATGTTTTCCAAATTGGTTCTATTCTCCCAGCTTTTTCAGGTACCCCAATCAGTTGCAGATTTGGTCTTTTTACACAATCCCATATTTCTCAGAGGTTTTGTTCATTCCTTTTTATTTTTTTTTTCTATTCTTGTCTACCTGTCTTATTTCAGAAAGATAGTCTTCAAGCTCTGAGATTCTTTCCTCTGCATGATCTATTCTGCTATTAATACTAGTGATTGCATTATAAAATTCTTGTATTGTCTTTTTAGCTCTATCAGGTCGGTTATGCTCTTCTCTATCCTGGCTATTTTCTTTGTCAACTCCTGCAGTGTTTCATCATGATTTTTAGCTTACTTACATTGAGTTAGAACAGGCTCCTTTAGCTCAGTGAAGTTCGTTTTTATCTACATTTTGACGTCTACCTCTGTTATTCCAGCCATGTCAGCTACAGTCCCATTCCAAACCCTTGCTAGAGAGATGATGTCGTCATTTGGAGGAGAGAGGGCACTTTGGCTTTTTGTGTTTTCTGTGTTCTTGTGCTGATTCTTTCTTATCTTTGTGGGCTTATCTACCTTCAATCTTTGGTGTTGCTGACCTTTGGGTGGGTTTTTGGGGGTTTCTCCCTCTTTTATTTTCTGGAGACAGAGTCTCGTTCTTGTTGCCCAGGCTGGAGTGCAGTGGCGCAATCTTGGCTCACTGCAACCTCCGCCTCCTGTGTTCAAGCGATTCTCCTGCCTCAGCCTCCTGAGTAGCTGGAATTACAGGTGCCTGCCACCACGACCTGCTAATTTTTGTTTATTTTTTAGTAGAAACAGGGTTTCACCATGTTGGCCAATCTGGTCTCAAACTCCTGACCTCAGGTGATCCACCTGCCTTGGACTCCCAAAGTGCTGGAATTACAGGCATGAGCCACCGTGCCCAGCCTTCTTCCCCGCCCCTTCCCCTTTTAACAGTCTGGCCACTTTTCTGTAGGGCTGCTGTGGTTTGCTGGGCATCTGTTCCAGTCCCTAATTGCCTCAGATTTTCCAGAACCTGGAGGTATCACCACTGAAGGCTGTGAAATAGCAAAGATAGCAGCCTGCCCCTTCCTCTGGAGCTCCATCCCAGCGGGGTACAGACCTGTTGCCAGCCTTAACATACCGTTAGGTGGTGGCTGGAAACCCCAGCTGGGAGGTCTCACCCAGCCAGGAGGGAAAGAACTGGGGACCTACTTAAAGAAGCAGCCTAGCCCTGCTTTCATAGAGCGACTGAACTATGCTGGAGTACCATTTCCGCCCCCCACCTCCACCACCCCCTGCTGCAATCAAGTTGCGCTCTTCAAATCCTGGAGGCTGAAACAGCTCAGTTGCTGAACAGCAAAGATGGTGGCCCGCCCCTTCCTCCGGGAGCTCCATCTCAGTGGGGTACAGACCTGTTGCTGACCTGAACACACCTGTAGGAGGTGGCTGGATACCCCAGTTGGGATATCTCACCCATCCAGGAAGAACAGGATCGAGGACCTGCTTAAAGAAGCAGTGTGGCCACTATACTATGCTGGGGTACTGCTTTCACCCCCAGACAGTTTCCTGGAGCAGCTGTACCATGCTGGGTACTACTTTCACCTCCAGACAGTTCCCTAGAGCAGCTATCCCATGCTGGGTAGTACTTTCACCCCCAGACAGTTTGGACTCCCCACAGGCTAGAATGGCTGAGTTGTCCAAACAGCAAAGATGGCAGTCTGCCTCTCCCTCTGGGCACTTCATCCCAGGAAAAATCAAAACTCTGCCAGAGAATATGGGTAGGCAGAGCTGGCTGGAGGCCCCAGTTGGGAGGTCCTGCCCAGAAATAAGGAGCGGATCAGGGTCCCAGTTAAAGAAGCAGCCTGGCTGTGTTTTGGTAGAGCTAAGGCTTAACAGTCAGGATGGCTTGATAACAAAACAAGGGCAATAGGAAAAACAAAACAAAACTTCAGCCTTAGGCAACCAAATCTCTAATGCATTTTGATGTAAATCGAAGTTGGTAGAATGTTAAGGTGAGAGGGGAGGGAAAAAACTGTAGAGTAAATAGACAATCTCTTTCCTCTCCTCACCCTGGCCTGGCTTAGGTGGTGAATGACAAGATCGTGGCCAGCAACCTTGTGACAGGTCTACCCAAGCAGACCCCGGGGAGCAGCGGGGACTTCATCATCCGAACCAGCAAGCTGCTGATCCCGGTGACCTGCGAGTTTCCACGCCTGTACACCATTTCTGAAGGATACGTTCCCAACCTTCGAAACTCCCCACTGGAAATCATGAGCCGAAATCATGGGATCTTCCCATTCACTCTGGAGATCTTCAAGGACGATGAGTTTGAGGAACCTTACCGGGAAGCTTTGCCCACCCTCAAGCTTCGTGACTCCCTCTACTTTGGCATCGAGCCCCTGGTGCACGTGAGCGGCTTGGAAAGCTTGGTGGAGAGCTGCTTTGCCACCCCCACCTCCAAGATTGACGAGGTCCTGAAATACTACCTCATCCGGGATGGGTAATGCTGCTGCCGGAACCATGTCATCACCCCTCGTTTGTATCCGACTTCTAAGTTCACAGCACACCCAGTCATTTACTAAAACTGCATGGCACGACTGTCAGCCCTTTGTTAGTTCAGGAACCACTTATTGACATTTTGGAGGTAAAAACTAGTGAGGGAGAGGAGAGTAAAAAATGGCTCCTAGGCCAGGCATGGTGGCTCACACCCGTAATCCCAGTGCTTTGGGAGGCCGAGGTGGGTGGGTCACCTGAGGTCAAGAGTTTGAGGCCAGCCTGGCCAACATGGTGAAACCATCTCTACTCAAAACACAAAAATTAGCTGGGTATGGTGGTTGGTGCCTGTAATCCCAGCTACTTGGGAGGCTGAGGCAGGAGACTCACTTGAACCTGAGAGGTGGAGGTTGCAGTGAGCCAAGATTGCACCACTGCACTCCATCCTGGGTGACAAGAGCAAAATTCCATCTCAAAAAAAAAAAAAGGCTCCAAGGGGTCTAGCCCATGTGACTGACTAGATCCTATTAACCAAGATGAAAAGATGCATATAGAAAAGCAGATTTGAGGTAAAAATACTGAATTTGGTCATTCAAAATGATATATTGAATAAGTTAATTTTTCAGATACCTGCAGGATACCTAGGAAGAGAAGTTCAGTGGGCATTCAGTAGAAATGTGTTATCAGCTAGACTCGGTAACACGGTGTGGACTAGAACTGAGGACAGGAAATCATCTGATTCCCTGCAGGATTCCCTGTAGGATTGAGTAACCTGCTCGGAGACGGCAGAGCATGCATGGGGGTGGGGGCTGAGATCCCGTTCATGTGGCTGAGAGTGCGGGGGACAAGGAGGCAGCAGACATAAATTCCTCTTCTAAGAAGCTTGGTAGTCAAGGACGGAGAAGAAATAGTTGGTAGATTTTAGGAGAAGAAAGATACAGATATCACGGCTTGGTTTTGTGCTTGGTTTTTTTTTTTTGAGGATGGAGGGCAGTGCGGGGTCTTGCTCTGTCACCCAGGCTGGAGAGCAGTGGTGCAAACACAGCTCACTGCAGCCTCGATTCCCTAGGATCAAGTGATCTGCCCGTCTCAGCCTCCCAAATAGCCAGGGCCACAGATGCACATGACCAATTCTTTTCTTTTTTTCTTTTTCTTTTTTGAACAGAGGGAAAAATAGAATGTTTATTTGGTATTATTGTTCTTTTTTTTTTTCCTAGACATGAGGTCTCACTTTGTTGCCCAGGCTGGTCTCGAACTCCTGGGCTCAAGTGATCCTCTTGCCTTGGCCTCCGAAAGTGCTGGGATTATAGGTGTGAGCCACCATGCCTGGTCCCTCTGCACTTGTTTTATACAAAGGAGAGTTCCATGGTATTTCCTAAAGATCCTTGGTGTGGGATCTGTAGGTGTCCTGAGGTACTGATGAGACCTAGCCCTTTTCACAGCCATTGCTTACATTCCCAGGAAAATTACACTCAAACCCAAACTCATAGCAGTATCTCATGAGCTTCTTCCTTGTTCTCCATGTCAGGTGGGACACAGTCTCAGGTGGGGTCAGGAGCTGCAGCTTAATCAAAGGGAGAAAGTCCAGTGCAAGCAGCTCAGTGCCCTCGGGGGCTTGCCCTCTGCCGGCTGGCCTGTGGGCTCTTGGACATTACTACATTGCTTTTACACCTCTTATTTCTCACCACAGCCAGCCTTCACCTGCTGCTATCAATCTCTTGCACAGTGATATTTCATCCCTTGATGCACATTAGGATCAACTGAGATGCTTTTTAACAAATAGGAATGCCCCAACCTTGTTCTCTGTATTCCATTTCTATTGTCTTAATTCCCACCTTCATTATCTTTCACCTGGACAGCAAAGCAGTCTCTCTCTCTCTCTCTCTCTCTCTCTTTCTCTCTCTCTCTCTTTTTTTTTTTTTTTTGTTTGTGTCTCACTCTGTCACCCAGGTTGGAGTGCAGTGGCGTGATCTCAGCTCACTGCAGCCTCCACCTCCTGGATTCAAGTGATTTTCCTGCCTCAGCCTCCCGAGTAGCTGGGATTGCAGGCACGTGCCACCACACCTGGCTAATTTTTTGTGTGTTTAGTAGAGACGGAGTTTCACCATGTAAGCCAGGATGGTCTCAATCTCCTGACCTCGTGATCCACCCACCTCAGCCTCCCAAAGTGCTGGGATTACAGGCGTGAGCCACTGTGCCCAGTCAGCAGCCTCTTAACACAGCCTCCAAAACCTCATCTTTCACAGCTCAGCTCCACAGAGCCCCTGGGTGATCCATTCAAACAGAAAATATGATCTTGTCACATCCCTGCTGAAAACCTTTTAATGGTTCTTTATTACCTTTGGTCAGTAAAGCTGCTTCTCAAAAGGTGTGCTTTCAGCCTCAGGTTCTTGTAGCTCCTTAAGCTTATTTTCATAATATGGAAAGTGCCATCCTGAGCTACTCTGGACGGCCAGCAGCAGAGAACACCTGCAAACCTGTGGGTTTCTTGCCATCCTAAGGTGATTTCTAAAAAGCTTTAAAATGAAAAGTAGAAGCAACATTTTTTATTTATTTTTTCAATGACTAGATCTACTTTTTTGCAGTGGGAGGTAGATTATTGTCCCTTTTTATTTATTTATTTTTTAAACTTTAGTGGAATACTATTCACATATGATAAATAGACATATTTAAAGCCTGTTGTTTGACAAGTTCTGATATGTATACTCATGAAGCCATCATGACAATCAAGATATTGAACATTTTTCTCTCACCCCAAAAGATTTCCGCTGCCCCTCATATTTACTTTTTGCGAAAATAAGAATATAATCATAACTCACTTACTGAGAAAAACATGTAACCTATAATCTTAGTAGGGCTTGTGAAACTTATTTATATATGTGTTATTCAGACTGTCAGTGAAGGACTATTTACTTTATTGATTGACTAACTGACTGACTGAGACAGAGTCTCACTCTGTTGCCCAGGCTGGATGCAATCTCGGCTCCCTGCAACCTCCACCTCCTGGTTCAAGCAATTCTTGTGCCTCAGCCTCCCAAGTAGCTGGGACCATGGGCATGTACAACCACGCCCAGCTAAGTTTTGCATTTTTAATAGAGATAGGGTTTCGCCATGTTGGCCAGGCTGGTCTCAAACTCCTGACCTCAGGTGGTCTGCCTGCCTTGGCCTCCCAAAGTGCTGGGATTACAAACATGAGCCACCACGCCCAGTGGTGCTATTTACTTTTATTCTGGGAAGTTCTAAGAAGCTGCACTATTTATTTGGCAGCCCTTAGCATATACAAGAAAGAAAAAATATATATGCTTTAGAAGAAAAAAGCATAGACAAAAATGGGAAAACTAGAGCAATGTGGCCCACTTTGTAAGCAGGCAAATCATCCCATCTGTGGTGCTCTACAAGAATGATGTGTGCAAGACCCTCCAGCTCTTGGTGTGGCTCATGGGCCCTTACCCTCTGACCTCAGCCCTTTCAGTTTCTGCTCCTGCCAAAGGGAATTATTGGCAATTCCCAAACTGACACTCCTGAACTTCTGACTTTATGCACGCTGTTTCCTCTGCCTGACATCTTCTTCCCCACCTTTTCTTCCTGTCTGATTCTTAACTGGTTCTTCAAGATTCATGGAGCGTTTACTTCCTCCATGAAGCCTTTCCTGGTATCTTTCCATCTGAACTCAAAATCCTTCTTCTTTTTTCTTCTTCCTCAATTCCTAGCATGTAGTAAGGGTCATTCAATATTTGCCAGGTTAACAATTGAATGAGTCTTTATAATAATCATAATCTGGGGCTAGTCCACAAACCTAAAATAAACATAACTCACTTTATAAGTAAAGTGAGTTAATTTATAAATTGTTTGATTATTCATTTCTTTGATTTTTCATTGTCCTCAGCTTAAATTCTATTTAAATCAAGTTGGTTCTCCCCTGATATTGAACACATTGATTCACTTCCCTCTAATTTTGGTTAGCATATGCTCTGAGAATTCAAAATAATTTAACACAGTCCTAAGCAAAATATAACTAGAAAGTTAATCACCAGGAAGAGAAACATATTGAATTCCAAAATGAAGCATTGAACAAGTTTTTGATAAGCAATTAGTTTTGAGTCCATTGTACCATTGTTACTTTCTTTCAGCACATGAACCTGGAGTTTAGAACTAGCATTGTCTAGTCATAGCAAACCCCAAATCCAGAGCCAACATTTGTCCTGGATTCTATTCTGAATGTGTTACCTTGTAATAACCTCTTCTGCTTCATTTTTTCTTTTAAAGAAAAATAACAGTTATTTTGAGATAAAGATAAATTGAAAATGCTCAGGCATTTAGATTAAAAGTACTATTTTAATATTAAGACTTACTATGATCTTAGATACTGGACTATAAACTCCTTGATGTCAGAGACCATATTATTCATCTTTATGTCCTCTGCAGCAGCCAGCACAGTGTCTTGAATAGATTAGGTAGTATGCAGTGGATATTTATTATAGAATATAATCAGAACAGGGTATAAATGAATTTTACCTCAGGAAAATAAAAATGAGTAAATAAATACAAGAAATAACAGAAACCTCTTCAGTTCAGTGGAATGAGGTACTGGTAATAATACTAGTCAAGATGCCTTATTTTAAAACAATTTTTTTGGATTTTTCAAGCACACTGAAACAACCGTTAGCAAGGAACTAGATAGCAGTCTAGCCAGGCACCATTGTGGCTCATTCCTGTAATCTCAGCACTTTGGGAGGCTGAGGCGGAAGGATTCCTTGAGTGGTCTTGAGTTCAAGACCAACCTGGGCAACATAGCGAGATTCTGTTTCTATGAAAAATGAAAAAATTAGCCGGCTGTGGTGGCACACGCCTATAATCCCAATTAGGGGCTGAGGCAGGAAAATTTCTTGAGCTCAGGAGGTTGAGGCTGCAGTGAGCTATAATTGTGCCACTGCACTCCAGCCTGGGCAATACCAAGATCCTGTCTCAAAACAAAAGAAAAAAGAAAAAAAAGTAGTCTGTGCATGTGGGTCAACTACCCAGTTTCATAGGCTTTAATATCTGACCCCCACTTTTTTCCCGGCCCAGAAGACAGGAACTATTAGGTACCAACTAAAAGGCAACTATGTCCAGAAAACACAAAAGTTCCTCTAGAATTTAGAATGGGAAAAATAATATGAGGGTGATTCTTGATCTATAAGAAGTTTCATGAATATCCAAGACTTTGGCCTCACCTGGTGGGAACATGGCTCAGTACACCTCTGCCTCCTGACTTCAAGTGATTCTTATCCTTCAGCCTCCTGAGTAGCTGGGACTACAGGTGCATAACACCACGCTTGGCTTTTTATTTATTTATTTAGAGACAGGATCTTGCCATGGTGTCCAGGCTAATCTTGAACTCCAGGGCTCAAGCAATCCTCCCACTTCAGCCTTCCGAGTAGCTAGGACTACAGGCAGGTGCCACAATGCCTGGCTAACTTTTTGTTTTATTGGTAGAGACAGGGTTTCAATGTTGGCCAGGCTGGTCTCAAACTCCTGAGTTCAAGCAATGCTCCTGCCTCAGCCTCCCAGAGTGAGCCACCTCGCCTGGCCAGGAGAGCTTCTTTTCCCCCAGCTAACCCTGAGGTGAACCTAGGAGTTTCACGTTAAGCAGTAGACCTGAAATTAAAACCCCAAAACCCTATTAAACTGCAATTTAACATCAAATTTCGGAAAAGAGAAATTAAAACAGTTTGGAGGTACATGACTTTTACCCAATAGAACCAGTTATTATCTGAGAAACTTGGATATTTATGTCACTTTGATGCACACACTGCAGTTCCCTCACTTTTGTATCCCCTTCAGTTGCTATTAGGGGTCGAATGCATAGTTATTAAATTTTGTTAAAGAAAAGCCTTCTCAAATCAATACTAAGGTACATAGAGGCAGAATTCCTGCACTATATTGCAAATGGAAAGACAGCCTTACTAGCAAAAGGTATCTTTGAAATAAATGGTGTTGCTGTAGCCAACATTTAAACGCATTAACACGAAGCCGTGGTGCCCAATTCGTGGGTACAGAGAATGATAAGTGGGACAGATACTATTAGTAAGGCTAGGTCTGAAGAGGACTTCACAGGGGAAAAATTGATTTTTCTTTCATTCCCAAAAAGCTTGAGTACAGTCCAGCTGCCTCCACCCCTTTGGCTCTCCTTGGGCCAAAATGTTGGACTGGATTGTTTTTCCATCTCTGTTGAAACAATCAAGTCTTATGTGCTATCTGCCCTACTTTCAGCTGTGTTTCAGATGACTCTGTAAAGCAGTACACATCCCGGGATCACCTAGCAAAGCACTTCCAGGTCCCCGTCTTCAAATTTGTGGGCAAAAACCACAAGGTGAGTTGAACATCTTTAACTTATAACCCCTGAACTTGAGCCTTTTTTATGGCGTCGCAATGTGTTGAGGTTCTAAGAGCCCTCTGTTAGGATCTGCATGGCCTCAAGAAAAAGTACAGAGAAACCAGCCATCTAGAGGCTTAACCCTTTCATGTATGTCACACCCACACCACCTGCCAAAGTAACTGTGCTGTTCCCCCCACACCACCTGCCAAAATAACTGTGCTGTTCAAAGAAAATACTATAGGATCATAATTTAAGATCTTTGTGGGCAGGTATGGTTGAAAAGCCAGTGCAGTGATTGGTCAAATGGCAAGGGAAATAGACAGGAAATTCACAGAAAAGACAAATAGTGAAATGTTCACTGAAAATAGTACTTAAGTGCTGATGAAAACAATTATAAGACACCATTTTATACATATTAAATTTATGAAAATTACAAAATACAACACTTACAAGGTTATAGGGAGAAGTATACAGTGACAGTATAAATTGGTACACTTTCTGGAACATTGTCTGATAATATGTGATATAATCATAAAATCATCCTATTCTGTTATCTAAAAATTCCAATTCTGACAGTTTCCTAAAAACAAAATAAAGGCCGGATGCGGTGGCTCACGCCTGTAATCCCAGCACTTTGGGAGGCTGAGGCAGGTGGATCACGAGGCCAAGAGATCGAGACCATCCTGGTCAACATGGTGAAACCCTGTCTCTATTAAAAAAATACAAAAAATTAGCTGGGCATGGTGGTGCGTGCTTGTAATCCCAGCTACTCAGGAGGCTGAGGCAGGAGAATTGCCTGAACCCAGGAGGTGGAGGTTGCGGTGAGCCGAGATCGCGGCATTGCACTCCAGCCTGCGTAACAAGAGCGAAACTCCGTCTCAAAAAAACAAACAAACAAAAAAAAAAAAAAAAAAAAAAAAAAAAAAAAAAAAAACAGAGGCAGAAGGATCATTTGAGGCCCGGAGTTTGAGACCAGCCTGTGCAACACAGCAAGACCCCTTCTCTACAGAAAATTTTAAAATTAGCTGGGCATAATGGCATACACCTGTAGTCCTAGCTACTCAGGAGGCTGAGGCAGATTGCTTGAGCCCAGGAGTTCAATGTTACATTGAGCCATGATTGGGCCACTACACTCCAGCCTGGGTGAGAGAGTGAGAACCTGTCTCTAAAAACAACAGCAACAAAATTTTAAGCCAAAACAGACAAGGTGTGTTGGAAGTGTTTGTAAAGCGTTGTTATAAAGGGGTAAAAGAAAAAGCCCCAAACAAACAGGGCTAACGGCCACAGTATATCAATTTCATGCAATATTGAGTTATTAAAATGATAAATATGGGAAAAGCAGACGTAAAAACTGTTGTCATGACAACATACAGGCATAGTAAATGTATTACATTTAAAAAATATATATACACATGGATAGAGGTTATAAGAGGCTATATAGAAAAGGTTGTAGCGAGATAAGGTGGAAGTTTTTTTTGTTGTTAGAGTGTAGTTGTTGAAACATTTAAACAAAAGGAAGTCAAAGAGGCCAACATTCTTTTCCGCACTACTTGTAAGTGTATGCAAGTCCTTTCCAGCTGTACCAGGGTTACGGAACAACTGCAAACAATGATGGCTGATGCTGATCACCCTCAACCAGGCAGGAAGCTTAGGCAGTTACCTACAGAAAGGCGCTTCCAGAAAACACTGGTCATTTGATAGCACAAGTGCACAGGGGATAGCCAGTGCTATCCCCAGACCTTGATGTGAGGAAGGAAGACATTCAAGTTATTAGATATTGCTTCACAAAGGCCTCTGCTATTCCAGCTCCATGCAGAAGTTATGAATGGGGGGTTTTAAATCACTCATGTGACTTAAATGCCAGCCTTACCACATTTTTACTAAATGTTTACATTTGGGCAAGTTCCTTAACCTCCCTGTTTCCTCATCTATAAAATGGGGATGATAACCTCTACTTGCGAGTGCTCTTGTAAGATTACATGAGATAATGTTTGGGAACGTTTTGTATTGTGTCTGGCTCCTTATAAGTGCCCCACAAGTGGCAGCAGTTATTGTTTTTATTAACCATTGTGATCGTCTCTTCAGGAAGTGTTTCTGCACTGCCGGGTTCTTGTCTGTGGAGCGCTGGACGAGCGTTCCCGCTGTGCCCAGGGTTGCCACCGGCGTATGCGTCGTGGGGCAGGAGGAGAGGACTCAGCCGGTCTACAGAGCCAGACGCTAACAGGTGGCCCAATCCACATCGACTGGGAGGACTAGTTTGTGGCCACACCTGTATTGGGTCACCTGAGTCCCTGCGTTGGGCGGCTCTGCTCTTTGGAGCTTCTCCCTACACTCTCCAAGAACATCGGCCAGCACCTAAGTTCAAGCTTCATACTGTGAGTTCAGACTCCCAGCACCAACTCGCTCTGATGGTGGTCCATTGGGTCGGCACAGGCCACAGCACTGCTGAACAATGTGGCCTGGGTGGGGTTTCATCTTTCTAGGGCTGAAAGCTCAACAGCCCACCCAGAAAGAGACTCACCCTATTTCCCTCATTTCTTTCCTACAATTAAATACCTCGTGTATGATGCAATTGGACCATAAAATCAGCAGTTGGGTATAATATTTCAAGTTAGAAACCCTAGAAAAATTAGGCCAGGCACGGTGGCTCATGCCTGTAATCCCAGCACTTTAGGAGGCCAAGGCCGGTGGATCGCGAGGTTAGGAGATCCAGACCATCCTAGCCAACATGGTGAAACCCCGTCTCTACTAAAAATACAAAAATTAGCTGGGCGTGGTGGCGGGCACCTGTAATCCCAGCTACTTGGGAGGCTGAGACAGGAGAATCACTTGAAGTTGGGAGGTGGAGGTTGCCATGAGCCCAGATCATGCCACTGCACTCCGGCCTGGGCAACAAGA